GGTGGCAGCGGCGGTGGCAGCGGTGGTCGCAGTGGTCGCAGTGGTGGTGGCGGTGATTGTGTTGCTTCTGGCGGCTGCACAAGCAGTGCGTAACACCTGCCCGCAAGCACTCGCACCGACGCACTGCTACGCAGGGGCCATGCGTAAGATTTATCGCTGGAATAACCGCGGCCTGTACACGGATTGTGAGGTTTTCTCTGCGATGTTTCATACACCAATGGCAATAATGCCTACCACCCGTTGAGTTGTTGTTGGGTGAACAAATCGAACTGCACGACGACTCAAAAAGCTATTAGAAATAACCCTGTACCATGTATAGTGCACAAAGTTATCATTAACGATTTCTAATTCTTGAAGTATTTTCTAAGTTTTATCAAAGGTACATGTAAAATTATACAAGTACACTGATAAATTTCTCTTTTTACGTAAAAATATATTCTTCATGCAAACACTATAATGGAAAAATTATACAATAAGATATTGTACATTTCTTCCTCAAATGAAGTTTGTTACAAACATCAGTGATATCTGTAATTAATACCAATGTATCTAATACAAGGTAAGGCGGAGGTAAACATAATGAAACTACTAAAGCTACAACAGCACGTACTTTCTCCAATTATGTGAAACCTTTTTAATTTTATTCATTTTATGCGTTAAGATATTTTTCAAAAACCTCCTTTTATACAAGCAAAAATTTCACTAAACGTACTCTTATTTTAAAAAAATATACATGACCTTAATAAAATAGTCCTCTAAATGTTTTTTAATAAGGAACAATTCTCTCTACAATCTAAATGACATTTAACATTATTTTAATAAAAGCGAAAATTATACCTGAGCCTTTTTACACTTTATTTGAGGTACAGAAATAGTCCAAAAACATGGAGTCATTTTTGAGAAATTTTGAAACTTGTATGGCTTGCTGCAGAGTACGCCCAAAATTCAAAATATGCGTTTCAAGTTCTGAGGCCAAACGCATCGTCAACCAATTTTTATTCATTAAGATCTCACAGAACGTGTAATCTGTCGACAAAGTGTATTAGAGGAAGAATTTTATAATCTATAGTAACAAGTTTTATCCATTGTTTCGATATCAATTCCAATCGACCTTTTTCTGGCAAAAAATAACCTTTATGCTGCATTATTTCAATGCTTTCTCTTTACTACCCAACAGACGAGACAGTAAAAATATTTTCATTGTACTCCTCGATTTAAATTAACAGAGTAGTATATATAATTTATTGATATATTAATCACCTCTAGAAATTGTTACGATGTACACAAATTAAAAAACTTAAATTGTCAGTCCTACATAATAAAATTAAATCAAAAAGCAACACTGTGTTGATTTTACTTTTATTAATTTATTTCCTACATCAAAAGCGTAACGGGAAATGAAATTATGCAATGGAGATTTTTAACTGATAAAGACGACATTATTGCCACAAAAAGTACCTCCTGAATCAATGTACCTTTTGAGACCGTTAACGAACTTCCTTTCTCTTATTCATAGACTCGCGCTCGAATCGAGAAGAAAAGCGAAGCCAGACGTACAGGAAAAGCGCCTCTTTCGCTCCTTCTATCTGAAGTGCGCGTCGGCAGGCATTTGTCTCCTTAAAGCGCGATGAACGCTTCTGAATCCTCCTCTATCGACTACACGATCGACGGGATCACTATGACGTTTTAAGACAAACGTCCCGATTCGTCTTCACCTCTTTTGCAACGCGCGCGTCGCCGCCGTTGCTCTTATTCTCCGAGAGAGGCGGTTGTATTTTTTTTATACGACGATGGAGGAAGATATGGCCGCCGAACTGTATGAAAATTTTAGAGAGGTTCTTTCGTCGATGTATGCATAGAGATGTGCCGTGCAGAGATGAGAAAAATTAAGAGCTTCTTTAATAATGAAGGCGTGGAGCAGAAACGAGCTGAGAGAAGGGTGAATATTTAAAGATGTTGGTGTTCTTTTAACACGAAAACAAAAACGAACACCATTTTTCGAACAAGAATGTGTACTGGGGGGATATAATGTGAACACGACTTTGCATGTTTCATTTTTATATAAAAAAGTAACCGTATTTTCATTTATTTTAGAGTTGATCGTGAAAGTGTGCATAGCTTAATGGAACAATTATTTGCTTTAGCGAATAGTTGGAATTTAATAACAAGGCATAACAGTTAGAATCCAAATGCCTGGTGTGAAAAATATTATGAAGGTAGCGATTTAAATCGTTCTTCATCTCAGGTTTCTCAATCATCTGCTTAGTAAGAAACGTAAATAAAGTGTCAGTTAATGTATACGGCATATTCACGTTACACATGTGTAATATTATTCATTAACATTAAAAAAAGCTGCCACTAAAGGATATTATTTGACACTAACTTTTAACGCGCTCGAAGGGTATCTAGCTGGCCAGCATGCACGTTTTCCCTGACGCGATCCCGAGTTCGATTCCCGTTCTGGAAAGATTATGGTGTACACATTTCTTTCAATGTCCCAGTATCTGTTGCTGTGTGACGATGAGAAAGTTCACTTCTCAGGTCGAGAATATCATAATGCAGCGCGGAGATGGCTACGTGCTAACCACAAACACATGGCCGGGACGCCGCTGGTAGGCCTTTGCCCCGTCAGGAGCTGTTGTGCCAGTACAAACTTAACTTTTAACAGTAAGAAAGAGTTATGGAAAATCTCACAAAAAACGAGAAAGAGTCTGTGGAATGCATAGTGTGACTCACCAGCGAGCAGCGCGGAGGCGGCGGCGAGGGCGAGCGCGGCGAGCACGCAGGGCCCCGTGGCCTCCTCGGCCGCCTGCGCCGTCAGCAGCAGCACGCCCAGCGCCCAGGGCGCCGCCAGCGACGCGCCGCACACCAGCCAGTAGGGCGGCGGGCCGCACCTCAGCCCGCGCATGCTGCCTGCGCACACGGACACGCCCCCTTCGTCACACTCAGCACTCTTTACCATTTGGTTCATTGGATGGGGATTTCGGTCGCATCGACTGCTAAGGTAATTAGTCCCGACTGCTAAGGTCATTAGTCCCGTTAGTGTAATGCATGTGTTAATGCGGGAGGTGGTACGTTGGATGACGTTTTCGGGCGCATCAACTGCTGAGGTCATTAGTCCCATTAGTGTAATGCATGTGTTTAATGCGGGAGGCGGTAATGATTTGGTTGGATGAATGGAGTTTTCGAGCGCATCAACTGCTTTTCCCTGTGTTTCATGCGTGAGGTGGTAGTGATTTGGTTCGTTGGATGGGGTTTTCGAGCGCATTAACCGCTAAGGTCATTAGTCCCGTTAGTGTAATGCATGTGTTAAATGCGAGAAGTGGTAGTGATCTTCCTCAGCGGGATGGCGAGATCCGACGCCGACCTACGTATCATCTAGCGGGATTTTCCCTCAAATAGGTACCCTTCACCAGAGAGACACCGCGCCAGCCGGGACAAGCTCCAAGCTGCCGACTGGTCTCCTGACATGAATGCTAGCATGTATGTATAAATCTGTGTAAGTGGCTTACGATGCTCCGTATGCTGAGATCGTTAAGGCAGTAGTACCGAAGGATCGCGGGTTCGAGTCCCACCTCTGGCATGGGTGTTTTTGTGTTCGTCTTTTCACCCACTGTCATCACCATATCATGTTGTCCTCGGAGTTGCAATACCTTTAAATGCAATAGGTGTCTCTAATGACCTAGATGTTGATGTGACCTTAAATACCAAAAAAGAGGAATGGATGAATGGCGAGCGGTCCGCGTTGCTGGCAAATTAAAGTGATAAAAGCTATTCTGTTGTGACAATTAATATGAACAATAAAAAATATTAACTTACATTTAGGAGTATTAACAGATAAAAGCCATCATATATTTGCGAATACATTAATCGGATTAATTGGGTTGGCATTTGTAATCTGCTTACACTATTTGTAAAGTTAAAAAACACATTTTTGTCGCTATGAAATTCCAGCGAATCTCAATACCAACTCGTATCCGAACACCCAAGGTGTAATATCTCTGCTTAGTCCCACCTGCACCTTCAATTGACTTCTTTTGCGAATAAGAAACGATCTGAAAGAAATACTCAACTTACAAACGATTTGTACGCAATGCTGTAATGCAACGATATATTATTCACTTTTATCGAACATGTATTCTCGTTCATGTTTTTGCTGCTAAACTATGTCAATCGTGTTCTTTTAATGAGCAGGACAATATGAAAGATTTGTGTGGCTTATTTTTAATCCAAAGAAGGCATTGTGACAATGTCATAAAAATAGGTTAAAAGGTAGTAGAAATATTGTGGATAGAAACCAATTACAAATGAGATAAAAAATTATATTGTGGGAAGTTATGGAAAAAATAAAACTATGTATGAAACTACATCCTATTTAGATATTAATAACCTCGGGTAATAAATAGCGAACGACATCGTTTGATATCGTATTCTAATAAGTACTACTAGGTATATACACATAGGACAAGTACGAACCCCCCGAAAGGGACTCTTGACTAATATAGTAGAATAAATCTTCATGGAAATTGTGCTAAATACAGTACAGTAATTAACTAGCCACTAGAGTACGTAATGCGCTGAAACTGATGATACTGAGAGATGTAATGGGAGTCTCTTGTTGCGGTTGCAGAAACAACGGTGGTATAGCTGTGAGAGTAAAAGTGTTGCTTGTTGTTTTGCTGCCGTATTCCATATGTCCACGGCATTAGTGAAATCCCTTGAAATACAGTATCTCTTTTATGTTTGCGATTAAAATAGCAGAAATAATCAATGAATTTTCCATTCAACAGAAACGGTCGTTCAGAATTATCGGAAATTCACAAAGTATAATTGTTCATTTTGTTTCTATATTTAAATAGCCAGTAAAGTTTTAGTGTCAAATAAGTTATTACCGAATCTAATTAGGACATAACATGCTCTGGACATAAATACTTAGTGTTTAAAAGTTTTACCTTGAAACTCAGCGGCAGGAATACCTTAAGAGTAGTACCACTTTGGAAAAAAACGCATACCGCTACAGAGATCAAAAAGCATCAGAAGAAATTAAATTCGCAAACTATTTTATTTTTAATTTTGCAAAAATCTGAAGGGATATAACATATTGAATTCACATAATCATTACAGGGTGCCGTATTTGGAGAACTGCTTATAGTATCCTCAAAAAAAAATACGAGGTAACAAATAACAGGCAAAATGAACTGCATATTTTGATAAAATGTCTCATACCCAGTGGAGATGGCCTCGATCAGAAATAGGAGAATGTAATTGCGTTAAATTACAGGTACTCGTAACTTCGAGCCACAATTGATTTTAATTCGTACATAAAAGCTAGTACTCACATGTAGAGTCACAGCAACTAGCCATCACTGATCTGCTTAATATTTTTTTAATGTCTCGTATACAACATTTTTTATAAATAAGTAATATTTAACTAAATAGTGATTAGTCACTTGTCTCACGAGTCAGCACTAATAGATCATTTTTCTCAAAGACTGAATAAGTGTCACGTAGAGTAAGGCAATTTTTAAGTGACGAATAGATATGAGTAGAAGCTTTCTTGTCATCTTCGTGGTAGGAGAATAGGACTATACCTCCCATCTAAATGGAACGTATCCCTTTACCACAAAGGTGAGACAAGTTTATTCTCAGTTTTGATAAAATTTAATTTTATATGCTCACATGGCCCACCGAAATTATTTATCATTCAAATGATAATCAATGCAACTTTAATCTTGGCGTAATAATGAAAATTATGCCTTATCCTAAATAGATCAATTGATTTTTAAGTGTGATTTACTTTTAATGTTATAAGTAAATGTACTGCACCACATTTATTAATATTCTTTACAGTAACTTCGTCTGCATTGACATATGTGTCAGCTATCTTTCACAAAACTTTACATTATTTCATTTTGTGAAGACTTTTTAGGGGAGGGAAATATATACGAGAATTTACGAGAGGGACATAATATAATGAATACTGGTAAATATAGTTATATTAATAATTGCGTGACATTTCAGTTATTACTTTTCCTAACTATAGTATAGGCATTTTGTAACCGGATATCAGAATTCTTGAATAATCTGGCTATCAGGAATGAATAAACGTGCTTACACGTTTTATTTAGAATGTCTCAGTCTATTGAAAAGATAAACTACGTATGATAATATTCGAGATTAGTAATAAAACTCCCCGAAATTTACTGTTCTAGTTTTGGAATAATGGGCTCTACTAGGTTCTACGTATGTGTTACCATTGCATTGATAGTAAAAGTAAAAAGGAAGGTGCTGAAGTTGAATCAGCGATGAATCAAGTAAACTATATTCGTATATGTACTATAATTATCTATGTAATATATAAAAATTTATGTTCGTATTTTATGCGCTGTCGTACCGGTCATCCAATTGGAAACATTTGTCAATTTAATGCTTACACTTGTGCAAATAATACAGGCATACTGCAATAAGAATGTGCGTACGTCTGTTGTATATTTCTCGTGTTTATGATTTTATGCGTTTATGCTGACTCAGACGCCCCTGAACAAAAGTTCTATGGAAACCGCCGCACCCACATGTATTAAGCGCGTCTTCGCTACATATTCTGCCCCTGCGACTGTGAAACATCGTCCGGGATTGTTTCTTGAATTTTTTGAAATATAGGAAAGACAAATATATGAAATAAAGGAACAGTAAGCAACCTATTTCTATAAGTAAAGGTACGCATTTTGCATTGTAATTTCAAGTTAGTTACCCGTCTGCACATTTTACTTGACAAATCTCCTGCTCTGCAACGTTTTCTGTACCACATTCAACGCATACACTATGCACAAAGTAATTTTTAGTCAAAATCCAGGCAATGTCACATTTTGTATAATCTATGAGAAATTACGAATGTGAGAATTTAATTGTCAGTCCATGTTCTATGCTCTTTTTTTTCTACAACGAAGTAAAAGAACCGTCCCGCCAATAGGTTATTTGCGGTTCAGACGCGACGTCCGCGATCGACAAGCGGTCCGAGACGACGACCCAAAAACGGTTCCACCCCCTTTCACACTCAACATGCGGAAAGTGGAGCGGCGCGGAGCGGCGCGGAGTGGGGCGGAGTGGGGCGGAGTGGGGCGGAGTGGGGCGGAGTGGGGCGGAGTGGGGCGGAGAGGGGCGGTGAGGGGCGGAGTGGGGCGGAGAGGGGCGGGAAGGAGCGGGACGGTGCATAGCTGAGGGGACGACGGGAACTGGGGCGGCCAAGGTGACGAGGTACAGCAAAAAGACGATGACACGGGCGTAGACTGTGTTGGAAGTAAACTGGATGAGATATGCATACGTGCGAGGAGGACATAGGGGATGACGTAGGTGCAGAGTCGGAGATAGAGATAGAGGTAGAGGTAGAGGATTGGATAGACATAAAAGGCGGTCAAAGTGTGTCTGGCGAGCCAGATAAACGAGGCGGCGGAGTCAAGCAAGGAAAATGAATATAATTGGAAAGATCAAGAAAGGCGTAAGAAAAGACCTGGGAAGTAAGGTGAGGTGTGCGAAGAAATGTAATGACCATATGAAACTACATGCAGTGCAATTAAATGAGTTAAAATGTTGCGGTGACGAATGTATTGTCGAACCAATATATTAAGAAAATCAAGGGAAGGGAAATCATAATACCATCTTCCCCTTCAATCATTCATGATCATTGTCACACTCCCCTCTGCTGCCATTGAATTGGGGAGACTGCTCCTACCTCAACACGCGTGTTTGTGGTCAGTGCCTATTTGAACAGATGTTGGGTGTCGCGATGCGGAAATGTGAAGGTTGACTGAACAGACAAATGTACAAGGGGGATGGAAGAGGAGGACTGGCAACAAACAGATAATGGATACTCCTAGAAATAGAATTATATAGAGATATGAAAGCTAAAAGTATGT